AGTCAATAATTCTCACATACACTCCATTCATACATTTACCTGAGAAAAAGCCATCTCTCTTCCCTTTCTGTGTAGATCTTCTCAAGAACTTTATCTCAAAAATTTACCTTTCTCATAATATTTTGATTTCAAAGCAGGAAAAGCACCATATACTTTCTACTACACCAATTCACTGGAAGGCAGGATCAAAAAGCTCACTCTGCGTACTATAACAGAGCAGAAATGTAGAACAACATAAGCTCCCAGAGACAGAGAAAACAGTAGGTTCTACTTTCATGCATTAGGTAGGCAGGCTGTTTGACCAGCATGAATGACTTCAGTACAGACTTGGCAGCATGATTAAATTGACTTGCTAGAGCTACCAGAGCCAGGTTGGTATTTCAAGTTACAGCTATGCACAGCTGATATTGAGAATCATTAAAGATCCTCACATTCTCTTTCCCTGGGGTGGTTGATTAAAGCCAAGTGAGGCTTCCATGGAGGATGACAATCAGTATCTGTGAGGTAGTCACACATGAAAGTAATTCTTCAACTGGGTAAAAAAATCTAGTTGCTTATGTCTAAGCAGCATGAAGGCAATGTATTCCCCTCTAAAGTCTCCATTGACTTTTCCTATTGGTTACCATGATACAATTTATAATATTAAGGTTCTGCAACTTTGCAGTGAGAGCCATGATTAAAATTTTTCACAAATTTATTTTCACAAGGACATTACTTCACCCAGGAACACTGTTAAGTAATTATGGGTGAAAAATGAGGGATGGGCGGTGGTGGCAAATGTCTTTAATCCCAGCATTCAGGAGGCAGAGCCTGATGAATCCCTGTATGTTTGAGGCCAGTCTGGTCTACAAACTGAGTTCCAGGACAGGGTCCAAAAGCAACACAAAGAAACCCTCTCTTGAAAAGTCAAAAAAAGAAAGGAAGGAAGGAAGGAAGGAAGGAAGGAAGGAAGGAAGGAAGGAAGGAAGGAAGGAAGAAAGAAAAAGGGAAAAAAAGAAAAAAAAATGAGGGGAACCTGGTGGAATTTTTTACAATATGTGAGATCCAAAGAACACTCTAATACCTTGGGATATTAGTCAAAAACACTGAATTCCATCATTTATCTTCATTGCTTTTGTTGTCAATTTATCAGATATTGATGGTTACAGTAAGAGGAATTCATTGAACACTCCATAGAAATGACACTGAACACATAGAAATCTGCACACATACTCAGTTTACCTTTGTTTTCTACGTGAATTGCACTGTAATTACTCAGACTCTCCATTAATATTTGGAATTAACTAGACAACATTTTATTTTTTATCTTTTTCTGGCACTAACATAAGGTATTTACCAAAATCAGCGCTGTATAACAAGCATGTCTTTGTGCAGAAATGAAGAATGAACAGGAACTCCATGGTGTTGCTTAAATTTCCATATTCAATTTTCACTTCCTATAGACTATGCATATTTTTTCAATGGGATTCTAAAGAACAGTAATTCTTCACATTAGAAGGAAAGTCAAATTTTCAAAAGCCCTAAACAGGGTTAAAGAGAAACTACTCCTAAACTGAAGAAGATGCAGTGACCTTGTTTGAGTATAGAATTCTGAAGCATAACCACTTCCTTCACAAATAATTAAACCTCTTACCACATTCAAGATACATATATCTCAAGATTGTGCACAAAGAAAACAGACTGGAACCCAGAGAAGGAGGAATGGAAAAAATGGGGATAAAATTAAATGTAATCAGTTTAGAGAAATTGAAGCATATTTATAACAAATAATACCAGCCATGTGCTTCTCCTTACTCACAGCAAGCATAACAAAGTACAACTATGTTAATTTGCCTGTATTTTCCCAGAAATTTATTTAATAACTGCATGCAATCTAATGGCTTCCCACAAGACAAATCTGGTATCTGAAGTGCATGGTTATTAGTTGAATGGTATTATCTAGTCTCTAACCCTACTGTATCAATTCCACACCTGCAGAAGGCTCATGAGACTGATTGAGATTAGGAGAGGAATCTGCCTGGTCAGTGAAAAGATACCTTCTTTATTCATGCTTCTACCATGAGGTTCTATACCAATGATTTTTTCTTTTTTTAAATTTAGATTTATTTATTTATTGTGTATACAGTATTCTGTCTGGATGTGTCCCTGCAGTCCAGAAGAGGACACTAGATCTTACTACAGGTGGTTGTAAGACACCATATGGTTGATGAGAATTGAACTCAGGACCTCTGGGAGAACAGTCGATGGTCTTAACCACTGAGCCATCTCTCCAGCCCCACCAATGATTTTTAATTTTAGATTAAGGAAAATATATATCTGGCACAAATTGAATAGATGTGTTTTCCTGAAACAGACACATTTCTATTCATGGACATTAGGCAGAGAAACATTCTGAGAACATGACAAACATATGCTCCACTAGGCTTGAGTTAAATGCTGCCTCTTTTCTCCTAATAAACTGGGATCTGCACCTGTTTCATACTGCAGTTAGAAGTCACTTGTAAGACAGGAATAATCATCTATTTGTCACAAATCTTTTCTCCCTTTTTCCTTTAAGTTTCTCTTTATTGTTGACACCAATTATTACTACAACATTCACAAAAAAAGTCATCTGAACTACTTTTTGGCACATTGGAAATGGAAAGTACTGTGTATTTTCCTTGAAATTTCAATAAAAAGAAACAATTTGCCTCCATTCTTACACATAAATAAGTTTGCACATGATTACAATCAGACACATGATAAAGCACATATGCAGTGAGCAGAGTCTTACATTATTCAAGCCTATACTTCAGCGTAGAGACCTTCCAGTTCCTTGCACCATAGTATTCAACTACTCCACTTAATTGACACAATTAAGTGAAGAACCAGTATTGTTGACATAACTTCTTCCATAAAGGCACTTCTCCTTAACATGTGACAAAATCACTTGTTAAACAAAACCAACATTTTCTAAAGTCAGAGCTAATTCTCTTCACACTGTGGCAAGGAGCTACAACAGAGAAGCACACACACACACACCACAAAAACAAGTCTACACACAAAATTATAAAACAGAAGCCCCATACCCTATTCTATACTGTTGAATTATAGAACTTAAGGGGCCCACTGCTTCCCTGCAGAGGTGTGGTCTGTGGTATCTATTGTCAAGGGAAAAATCCTCCATTTTGTCTTCTCTGTGTGATTCAGGTCTTTGAAAATGACTTCCTGAATCCAGATCATACCCAATTCACAATGTGATCATGAGGAACAGAGAGAACAACGTAAGTTAATAGAAGTCAGTAGATTTTGGCTGTGTTTCACACACTCTCCAGTCATGATCAGTGAAGAAGTCTACTAATGCTCACAAGATCCATACTTATAGTACAAGTGGCATTGCATGAGAGAAACCCCAGAACACTTGCTGGACACTAAGATAACTGCTTGATGATGTCAAAGCTGTTTACAGGAAACATAAGTCTGTTAAAAAATAAGCTAATTAAAAATAATCAAAATCAGTCAGTATGATAATATCTTTATTAACAGAGATAAATATGAAGGAGACAAAATAGAAAACAATAAAACAGAAAAGACAGAATTGAGGGTCCCAAAAAAGCAAGACAGTGGAATAACATGAGAGAAGTGGTGGTTCAGATCCTTTTTCTGCTTTTCTATAACAGTCGAAAGTGGTTGTAATTAGGAAGGGCATGATAATGAGACCAGAAGTTTAGGAGCTAATTAGTGGCTCAATCCATGAGGATGGCATAGATCTAATGGCTGCTACATGGTAAGTTGTCTTTTGTCCATGTGCTCCATGATCTATGAAATTCTGTACCAAGCCATAATAGAAATTGAGTCAAGTATCCTTGTAATGAAATAACACAGGCAAGGGTTCAAATAAGCTTTTCTTCATTTGAGATGATCTTCTTCAATGTTCATGATCTTATGTGATTTTATATGATAGTGTAGGTATACACACACCTATTTATACCCACATGAAAATACCACATGCACTTAATTTCCTGAGGTTTTCTGTTGGAATCACCTTTCTGTGTAACAGAACTCAGTATTTCTTTTACTTACTGAGTTTTCTGTTAATGTTTTCATTTGTGGATGTTTTATTTTTACTACAAGAATTCACTTATATATTGACAACAATCAAACTTTTGCTTCAAAGTAAGGGAACAAAGGTAAAGAAATGAACAAATTAGATGTACTTCTTATTTAACAAATAGAACTTTCATTACAGAATAAGTGCAACCTGAGTTATGAATATAGCTCCAAATTTTGGTGTTAGAATGGTTTGATTTCTAGTAATGAAAAAACTTTTTCTTATTTTCAGAATCTTGAAGCTCTAATATGATATTGACTGCTAAAATCAGCATGGTGTATGCTACAATATGATATATGGAGTAATATTAAGGAAATATTCAGTAAGTTTTATGATATTAAGGATACCATATCCTTAAAATCAAGTATAAATATTCATTCAACTTATGCTTCACAACATTCTTTTAAATGATTAAAGAGTGACAATAATCTTCAATAAAAATAATTGTGGGTGAGGATATGTGATATAGTGCAGGTTTAAGTTCTGGAAGAAAAGATCGTGCATGTCATATTATATTGGATCATACTGGGTCATTTGTATTACTTTCTCTATGAAATGAATAACTTGTGAAAGTTTAAAGGTTTGGATGATTTTTCTGTGACATATAGGTAGCTTTAATTTACATTATTAAACTCAAAACAGTTTATGAAATCAAATTCAGCTGCCATGAGGATCAAACATTTCAATGTACTTGGACAGGAAAATCATTTTAGCTCTTGCAAAGCATTTGTAGGTTACTTGAGGAGTCCTTTTGTCAAATTTGGAGATGTGTTCAAAGATACTAGGCTCTCTGGGGTGCAGCTTGAAATCACTTAGGAGTATTCAAAGAATATGTTACATCTTTCTTATTGTTGCTTATATGTATATCTCTCTACATAATCAGCTTATAGAAACCATACAGCCACAGTTCTCAACCTGTGGATCATATTCAATTGGGGGTCCAAAGACCTAAGGGTCATCACAGACCATTAGAAATACCAGATAATTACATGAAAATTCATAACAGGAACAAAATTATACTTATGAAATAGCAACAAAAATACTTTTATAGCTTAAGGTAATAAAAAAAGAAGACCTGTATTAAAATGTCACAGTATTAGGAATGTTAAAAATGGCTATGCTACACTAAGACTCATCAGTAGTCAATATACAAACAACATCTTTTCTTTGTTTTTGTCTGTGTGGTTGTATTTTTTCATTCTTCTAAAAGTTTAATAATTTATTATTTTACATCCTAATCACACTTCCCCCTCCCACTCCTCAAATTACATTCCTAGTTTCCTTCCACACTGTATTCCACTCCCCCTCTGTCTCTGATAAGAAAGGTGACAGCCTCCAATGTATATTAGCAAAGAATGACATATAAAGTATGTGTAAGACTAAGAATCTCCCCTTGTAGTTAACTAAGAAAAGCAATCCAATAAGAGGAATAGGCACTAAAGAGCCAACCAAAGAATTAGGGATAGACCCTGCCCCATTGTAAAGAGTTCCAAAAATAGACAAACTACAAATATGTTACATATGTGTAGAGGGTGGAGTTTGGTTCCATGAAGGCTCCCTGCTAGCTGGTTAAGACTTGTGTGTTCCTAGAATAGAGAGAAAAAGGATTGTAGGAATCAAGAGGGATCAAGCATTATTTTATCTCAATGTGAAAATAGAGACATAATTTACTTAAAATAATCTTGTTGTCCCCTTCCTTTTGGAATTCATAATATTGCTATTTGCATATACTTATTTCCACTGGTACACTTTTCTATAAAACCTATTTTTTCTCTTTTTTTTTCCTTTTATATTATTTTACAATGCCATTCAGCTCTACACATCAGCCCAGGTTTCCCCTGTTTTCCCCCTTCCCCCTCTTCTCCCTTTATCCCCAGCCCACCCCCCATTCCCACCTCCTCCAGGGCAAAGCCTCCCCAAAGGACTGAGATCAACCTGGTAGACTCAGTCCAGGCAGGTCCAGTCCCCTCCTCCCAGACTGAGCCAAGCGTCCCTGCATACGCTCCAGGTTTCAAACAGCCAACTCATGCAATGAGCACAGGACTGGGTCCCACTGCCTAGTTGCTTCCCAAACAGATCAAGCCAATGAACTGTCTCACCTATTCAGAGGGCCTGATCTAGCTGGAGGACCACAGCCTTAGGTTCATCGTTCATGTGTTTCCATTTGGTTGGCTATTTTTTTCAACAGAGTAAAACCGAAATTTATTATAAGTCACAGTAGTCCTGGGGACCTCCAAGCTATATATATAGCCTCCATGGATCTGTGGGTTGTTAAAACCTATTTTTAATTATATGTTTTTATTAACACACTGATTTCTGGAACATTTCATCTTCATTATGCCATTCTCACACCAAAGAAGATTCATCTTATCAAGGTAAATAAAAATAAACAAAAAGTATACTACATTCATTTGTACAAACAATCATTAATATACACTCTACAAAAGTGAAAATACTGGGAATATAATAGTGATATAAAATATATAGAATATAATATCACACAAAAGACAATATTATCAACAAATTGCAAAAAATATTATGTAGCCATTTGGACTTTCTATTGTAGTCAATAATCATCTATTAGCAAAAATTCTTGTTTCACAATGTTGTTACTTTAGTATTTTCAAACAAGAACTCGTTGAAATTAATGAGTTGATACTTTAGTAAAAACAATACCCATAGCAAATTTTTCAATAAGCATTTGGTAATTATAAGGTCTACTCCTGAATTAACACTTCCAAATTCAAATCAACAGTAGGGTGTCCTAAAGTGATGTTTGTGATATTGAATCAGGAGTGAATATTGATCAAAGATTTTGTATATTCCACACATTTTTGAAGGAAATTTTATTGCATAAATATAATGATACTAAAATAAATTGAATGATTATTAGAGAATATTTTTAAGATTTTTATATTTTTTCTGATGTCTTCTAAGGTAAGAGCTCATGAGAAGTATTTTTCCACATTCTTCATATTTGTAAATATTTTCTTTAGAATGGGTTCAGTGAAGATGAAATATTGAGGATTTGGTTAAGAAATTTTCACCTTCTTTACATTTATAAGGCTTGGCTCAGATGCGAGTTCTCTGGTGGACATTAATTGAAAGCAATGGGTAAACAACAATACATTTTTGATATTTCTATGGTTTGTCTCTAGTATGGATTGTCTGATGAACATGAAGAGAAGAGCTATGCCTAAAGCATTTTGCACAGTCATAACATTTATAAGGTTTTTCTCCAGTATGGATTCTCCTATGACATTGAAGACTGAAGGACTTACCAAAGGACTTTCCACAGTCATCACATTTATAAGGTTTCTCTCCAGTATGGATTCTCCTATGACATTGAAGA